GAGAGAGAGAGAGAGAGAGCACTTTCAGGGTCACAAGCTTAAAATCCAAAATATTTGATGCTGACAAAAGCATCTATATCTGAAAGTTCCTAGTGTTTTAGGGTCTCTTTGTTCTCCAAATGACTGAAATATGAAAGAAGGTATGAAAATAGGGGTCATGGACTCTCAGGCCCTTTAGAATACCCAAAACGTAACCAGAAATCAAAATACATTTTTATTTTTTTAAGGTAACTTACAATAATACGCTAAGGTGTCGACTCTTGATCTGATTGCTCAAGACTCAGGAATCACACAGAGTCTCATATGTAACTCTTGGATTCCAGTATAGGTCGAGTGAGATTTTCAAAATTGAAGGTGGGGTGATTGAACATGGTTAAAAATTGCTAGGGAGACATAGCAATTTGACTTGAACCACTCTCAAGTTGAAGATATTGGTTTTTAAACATTGCATTGAGCCCCACCAAGGACAATTTCTCCTGACAGATAAAAGCCCATCGCCTTATACATAAGCAAAGAAAACCAAAATACAGTCAAATAAGGGATTCCTGCACTCAAATTATTTTTCATGGAAGTTTTACAATCTGATTTGAGTTGATATCACTGGAGGTAAATTGAAACCTAGTCATAAAACTTTACACATATCATATGCAATTAAAAGGCCACTTTGATAGGTGCTTCACTCATGTTTCCTACATGCAGAAAAACGCATCCAGAAGCAGTAAATATGATTTTGTGAACATATATCAACTTCATAAGAAAAACAAACATTCTAAACCGTCTCATATATGTACTATCAAGTTTCACAACTTACAGTTGATGTTTTCTCAGTTTCTGCAAGAAGGGCTGTCCACGCCGGAAAGTTCGTCGGGTCCTCCTTAACTGATTCCCAAAGTCTAGTCTCACTAAGACTTTCTGCAAAACAAAGTTCACAAAATCATTGTAAGAACGCAAGCAAGGAAATATGATGCAATCAAATAAGAATAAAGTCCAGAAACATTCAAGAAGAAAGATGCAAATTGCGAGAAACAAAGCATCAGGAAAAAATCAAAGAAAAAACATGAAGTTGAAAAGATGCGCAGTGGCCTGTGAGTACTGACCATTAGCCGCCATGTGAGTAAAGAGGGTGGCAAATGCCAAGCTCCATCTCTACCTACGTATCCATTGCCTTTCAGCCAAGGCACAGGCACTCGTATATGTGTGCGCACGCGTGCTCGGGCTTCAATCCTTTCGAACTTTATTCCAGACTCCTCCCTCAACCTCTGCCGTGGAGATTAAAGGTCCTTCCTGTTAGACGAGGACAATCCCACGGGATCTAAACGGACGCCCACCGAACAAAATACTACCCACCATGTACCTTTTGTACAAGGAGGTAGTGAACTTCCTGATCGTCTTGTAGCAAACATAAAATAGTTTCATATTTTATATATATATATAACCGACGGCCCCAACAAAATAAAA